AGATATATTTCACATAATATTTCATCATAAATCACAGTGATATAATTTTTTTCTGATATTGAAATAAAAGTGTTCCTTGAACATTCACAATCTCTTATCTATGTCTATGTGCAATGTCATAATCAAATGTCGTATGCACGATTGCAGCAAGCAGAAGTCCACATAGGTGTACCTGGGCGCTCATTAGCGACCCACTTGCCCAGGTGCTGAGCAAGTCTCGCCTTGGCTGCAAGACAACGAGCCATAGCAGGGCTTTAATACTTGTTTGGTAGTTTCCTCATCCATGTACCTATACTATACGCTAGCTAACTCAATTTAACCCCCTGTACCCCCCGTCGTCTGGGACAGTCCCCTTGAATTGTCATTTTATATAATGTATCTCAAGAGAAATATATATTGAATGTTATTTGGGGATAGTCTCATCTAGTACTGGTATTCTCTATCATTTAGTTTAATTATTAGGTGACAGAATATTTTTTAACATAAACTAACTGAAAGTGTGTCCTTGCAATTTTTGGACTTTATTTCCATGATGAATGTGTATAAAGTTCATGGGTTGTGACACAGAAGTCCAGGAGGCATTCATGTGACCCTATAGTGATATAAGTTGATATTTATTAAATAAAATACATTTCTATTTATTAGATAAGTAGATTGTCTAAAGGGGAGAGAGAGTAATACTGCTCTGATGAGAATAGTTGGGCAGTTAAAGATTTTTGAATATTTACTTATTCACAAGAAATTCACATTTGATATTTTATAAATGTCCTGAGGGCCTAAATTTCCCTTGAATATCTCAACACAGTTTACACATTTATTGTTAATGATTGCTATGTTTAAACAATGGATTATTATGCAGAGTTTGTCACCCAAAGCATGATAAGGACATGTAATTAGGACTATTTCAGAATCATTGAAGCTGTGTGTAGGATAGGGATTGCGAAAAAAAAGAAAAAAAAATTGTTTGATATGTTTGCTATTCCAATTAGATTTTTGATGATTTTCTATTACATTACCATGTCCATTGACCAAAAGTAACAAAACGTACTGTATTATTCACTTCACAAGATTCCAAAATCCTTTCTATGCTTTTATTTGTTTTTGATGAGGTAATTTGAGTATATTTTGTTACCAGTTACAAAGTTAATGTATCTGGAATTTTATATGATAAAAATAATCCAGTTTTTAGATACTTGTATAGTACTGTATTTACCAGTTTGCTCTGGGGTGAAGGTATTTTGGTACTGCATAGCATATTCCTCTGTTTAGATGTATTAAAAGCCATAATCTCTTAAAATAATGCTGTATTTTCATGGCTCAATAAATGCTAAAGTTACCTTTTGTAGATACTAAGCTTAATATGCATGCTAACCCAGACAAAAGTGTGAAGGTCTTCCCTAATGTTACAAGAAGAGATCATTGCAGCAAAGTCACTCATCATTGTTCTGTATAGTTCACGAGGAACGAGAGACTGAGCTATCCATGTTGTGTAACCTTAACCAGAGTAGAACCTTACACCTGAGTGTGTCCTTCCATAGGCTACCTGATTCGCCCATTACCTTCTGGTGGGTGTTCCTTCAGCTACGTATCTCACTGCGACCCCAGAGGAAAGCTACCACCCTGGCTTGTCAACAAATTAACTCATGTGCTTGCTCCTAAGGTAAATTTGGCACCTGGAGATGCTGCCCGAAAAAAAACATTAAGACTTCTGTTTGAGAGATATTTCCTTTTGAAGTTGTGTGCATGCTTGATGGTTTATTTGTTATTGGCTTGCTTTGAATTGCTTGTATCTATTGCATTGTGATGTTTGAGTAAAAAAATGCCAGCACTCAATGAAATTTCTATACCAAGTGTTACATGGTGATGAAGAATTTCCACTATATGCATACTGATTATTGGGAGGTAATCTGCATATCCATTCTACATTCAGTGATTGAGTTAGATAAGTCTCAGATAGGATCATCATCTCATTCTCTCTCTCTCTCTCTCTCTCTCTCTCTCTCTTCTCTCTCTCTCTCTCTCTCTCTCTCTCTCTCTCTCTCTCTCTCTCTCTCTCTCTCTCTCTCCTCCCTCTCCCTCCCCCCCTCCCTCCCTCTCCTCCTCCCTCCTCCCTCCCTCCCTCCCTCCCTCCCTCCTCTCTCCTCCTTCCCTCCCTCCCTTCCTCCCTATTCCCACCCTCTCTTTGTTTTCCTATATTTTCTGCAAGAAATTAGCTCCATTCTTTCAAACCCTTTCTCTTGTGACAGTCAAAAGGGTTGTCTATCAAACAAGCACAATAAAGAACATTACACAAATTTGTTTTTCTTCCTTGCATAAAGAAAGGAAGTGTCAAATATTTATTGACACTGAAAACAGATGCAAAATGGAGTAAGGCTCAAAGTAGTATTGTTGCATAGACTGCATGATACTTTCTTCATTGATTCAGCCTTTCTTCGTTTTTTACTTTTTGCAAACAAGAAACCCCCAAAATTCCATCAGCTTCCAAATATATTCTTATAAC